GGGAGCGTAGGCTGCGGGTGATGAAAGCCCAACTGGGGCCACGTGGCCAGGTGCTGACCTGTGCCATTGGTGGATGCGATGCTGATCTTGCTGTCACGCAGGGTCAGGACCAGCGTTCTCAGCTGATTCTCCACTATGGCCATCAGCTCGGTTGCGATCCGGTGTCTCTGCTCCACACTCTCGCTCTGCTGCCCGACCAGATTTATCGGCTTCTCCAGAATGTCCAAGAAGCCCTGGCCAAGCAAACACGGGGGGTTTTGGTGTCACAGTGCCTGATCCCCTGCCGCGCCCCCCATTCCTAGATTGCTAGTCCTCCACTGCCTTCCCATAATCCCCCTCAAAGGAAAGACAAGTTCTGCTGCAATTGACATCACTGCCTGGGATGTCAGACTAGATGATCACAATGGTCCCGTCTAGCCTAGGAACCTAGGAGAGCAGTTTCTTGGGCACAGAGCCCACTAGAGAGGCAGGCGTGGGAATTTCTGGGCAGTGCTGCTGTTTATTTCTCTCCTGTTCCAGGCGCTGCATCCCTATAGATCGCCCTGAGACTAGATCCGAGTAGGAGCAGCAATTCCTCCCCCTAAGGGGAACAAACCCAGGAAGGCCCCGAATTTTGACTTGGCACCTGCAGCTTCTCTTCGGCGTTCTGAGAGTTCATCTGCTTCAGCTCCTCCAGCGCCGCCTTGCAGAGACGTCCCATCTGTGCCTGGAAGCTGCCCTGGAGGTTCTGCAAAACAAGGCCCAGGCCTGGCTCAGGAAAAGAGATCACAGAATCGCAGCCCACCTCCCCCCGTCCCGAGAGGCTCCCTCGGCTCAGAAGCCTGGCGCCAGAGGGAGCGTGGGCAATGCCCCATCTGGCCCGTAGGGGGTGCCCGGCGTTTACAAGGGATGGGGGGGGGACGGCGGTTGCAAGCTGAAGCGAGTTGCAGCAGCCTGGTGCTGCCGATCCTGGAGGGTGAGAATCACCCCGGGGCAAAGGCCTAGGCCGTGGCTGGACTGCAGGGGCTCCAGGGACTGGCCACTGGCTCTTTGCCCGGGGCGAGTTTGGCCCCAGAATCCTCGTGGGGCGAGATCAGTGAAAAGCAACGTGGCACTAAAGGGAATCGGGGTCTATCCCCCCCCCCCCGGGGTCTGTGCCCCACTCACCTTGGCTTCGGCAGAGTTGTCATAATCCAGCAGCCGCGGGCAGGTGAGCTCTGGGGATGGAAAGGGAGGAGGAGTGAGAGATGGACAGGGGGAAATGTGGGGTCTGGCTGGGTAGGTGCATGCACCAGAGCCAGGCACGGAGAGCAGGACTCATTCTCTCCAGTAGGGGGCGGCAGCAGCCTCCCCTCACTCCCCCCAGCAGGGACACACCCAGCCCGTCAGTGATATGGGTGTAATAGATCCTCTCCCAGCAGGGGGAGCAGTGACCTCCCCAGCCCCACACATGTGCCCAGCCCCTTCTCCCCATCCTCTGCTCACAAGCTGGTCTCTGTGAAAGGAACCGTCCCCTCTCCCTGTCCTAGGGGACTGAGACGCAGTGGGGTGGGGCGGGGGCTGTGGAATCATCCCAGCCGTATCTCCCCTCAACCCTCTCCCCCCAGCTGTGGGTGGTTCTGATGTGTTTGGGGGGCTGGGGGGGAGGAAGAATCCAGCAGGGAGCCCCGGGCTGGCCCCACAGTGGCCTCTAGACACAGACTGCGCCCCCTGCTGCCATCTTCCCAGGGCAGAGAATCCAGCCGTGCAGCAGGAATACAGGGACTGCTGGGGGAGGGGGAGAGACACCCGGCCCCTGGTAGCCCTGCTCACCCCGCCCCCCCCGCGAGAGGTGAGGGCCTGGAGGCTGAGCCCTCCCTGGCCAGGGCTGAGACCCAGAGGGATCCCATCCATGGGGGGCAGGGGGGCTGGCGCACCGTCCCAGACCAGTTTCCAGCTCACTGCTCCCTTGGGCAAGACCTCTGCCTGTGTAACCCCAGACTCTGCCCAGCCCCCCCAAGGTTCCCCCTCCATGCCCCCAGCGGCAGGACCCACCTTGGCACAGGGTCGTGTTCCTGTTGGAGGGGACGTATCCGGCCCGGCACTTACACCAGTAGCTTCCGTTGGCGTTGATACACGTGGCGTTGGGGCTGCAGATATCTTGGGTCTTGCACTCGTTGATGTCTGAGAGGGGAAAGCGGAGGCAGGGGGTGTCACACACAGCACGGCTGGGGGCGCACGGGGGGCGAATGACCATGGAGGCACCTCCCACTGATTGCAGGGGGCGTGGTCTGTCGGTCAGTCTGTCTGCTCCATCTAACCCCCCTCCCCATTCTATTCTCCTTTCTTCGCTGCTATTGGCAGGGCCCCAAACCCTGTGGGAAAACGCCTCCCCCAGCCCCCAGATCAGAGAGCCCAACCTTTTCCAGACCAGGACCCTGCGATCCGCTCCCTGCACCAGCCCTGACAGAACCGGGTTAAGACGGGGGCCAATCAGCCAGTTAAGCTGCAAAGGGGAAGTGACTTAGGCTGCGTGCAGGGCACTAGCTAGAAGGAAGCTCGCCTGGGAGGGGACAGGTGGGGCTTCTCTACAGCCCGAGGGCTGGGCCCAGTGGTGGGGGCCTGAGGCAAGGGGGCTAGGAAGCCCTGAGGGGGGCTAGGAGCCCCAGAGGAAGGGTTTCGCTAGCAGGGATAGGAGAGAGGGGTCTGACTTTGAAAGGCTCCCCCAGAATGGGGATCACAGCGTGATCTGGCCGGACGGTCGAGACACGGAGCAGCCACGACTCCGGGAGCTGCAATGGTGGAAAAGAAGAAAGGTGGCGTTGAACTGGAGCTAGTTGTCAGAAGGGCCGCGTTACAGACCCGTTCGGGATACACCGAGCCCCGCCCCTCCCATGGAGCACTAGGAGAAGGGTGGGTGGGCTGCGCCCAGGGGAGTGCAGGAGAATTGGATGATGTCTCTTTAATCTAGTTTCTTTGCTCTGTGGTGGCTCACGGGGGTCGATGGCAGAAGCCCGCAGACCCCAGACATGCGGCCAGGCCCTGCACGGCTGGTAAACGGGTTGTTTGGAAGCCAGCTGGATCCAGGGGATCCCCCTATTCCTAACACTGCGCAGTGAGCAGCGGCCTGACAACGTCCATTCCCGGACCCTGCTGTGACCCCCAGGCCCAGGGCCCCACGGGGCGAATCCATCGAGCCCTCGGAGGGATGATGACAGCTCGACACTCGCTGCCGATCCAGACTGTAGAAGCCGAAGCTGGAAGAGACCTGCCCAGCCTGACCCCCAGCATAGCCCCAGCCGGAGTCGCCACCCAGCGGGTCACCAATCCGGCTCCAAACGGAGAAGACTTTACTGCCCTTGCTGGACGCTGGGGCCTTTCACCGCTGTGGAGAGTCTGATCTGACAGACGGGCCCCGCCCTGCCCGGGCACAGAGAGCCCTGCTGTGATCTAAACAAACACTAGAGGGCCGTGCACCCGCCAGGCTGCCAACGCGGGTAGTGCCAGCTGCCGGGCAAGGGGGGGATATACGGGGGATGTCGGGGCTCCATGATGCAGTGGGGTCACTCACCCCATGCAGGGAGTGGGGTTTTCTACCTAGGGACCCGGCTTGTACGTGCAGAGACGCACTCATTCCGGCCAGCCAGCCCCTGAGGAGCCTGCAGTCCTGTCTGGGGCAATGAGAGCTGGAGAAGCAGAGCTGGGAGGAAAACCCCTTGAAATCAGTGGTGCTGCACCAATTTACACCACTGGGGCTCTGGCCCCCGCTTTGTGACCATTTCACATACAGAAGCGCTGAGTTGGTGGCGACGCATGGGGGACGGGCGCATCGTCAGTCATTCCCGCGGGTTGGGGGAAGCAGTTGAGCCGCTGCGGAAATGGCCATGACCGATTCTCCCGGAAATCCCAGCCAGCAACAAGTGCTGGAATTTGAGATTTGCCTGCTTATTAACCCAACATTTCAGCCGTCCAATCAGGAAGCAGAGAATGACCATGGGACTCAGGCAACCAATTGACAACATTAGTGACAAGTTTTTGGAGCAAACAGTTTGCCAATAAAATCACAGACATTTATCCACCGAAACAGTCGAAGGGTCGGCCAGTGAACGAGCAGGTTTGGATCAGCATGCAGAGCTGTTCTGCTGCCTCCCCCTGGCGTTCAGATCAGCAGTGGCCTATCAGTCACCATCCCTGGGGACAGATGGGTGGCGATCTTTCTTGAGGAAGTAGGGGCAGGGCCACAGAAGAAAGCTAAGCTCTCCCCGATATTTTTGCTTCTCACAGAAATCCTTGTGGCTAAAATCCCCTTCTCCTGGACGTCAGCAAACAAGTCAATCAGTGGGGAGAGTCAAGAGCACTCACGGGTCGTTCCCTTGGGCCGTGTTCCAGCAGCTCTGTCTCAGACTCCCCTTCTCTCTCTTTCCCGTGACAGCGTTTTGCTATTTCCCGCTACGCCCCTTCCCCTCGGTCGTTATTTGCATAAAGGCAGCACCAAGAGCGCTGCACACACACTGCCATAAAGAGCTTCTGGTCTAAATAAAGAAGAGGTGGGAGAGAAAACTGAGGCAGGGAATTGCCCAAGGACACCCAGCAGTAACAGAGCTGGGACTAGAACCCAAGTCTCCGTCTCACACCCAACCTGCTAGACCTGTCTCTTTCACCTTGTTTCCTTCATAGAAGGCCAAGAATGTGTCTCCACTGCCTCACCAGGCAGATTTTACCCTCTGCTCCCCTCAGTGAGAGGAGCTTTGTGTCTCCTGGCTCACGGCCGGGAGTGCATCAGGGCTGGAAAAAATCCCTTGTTCCTTCCGCAGGAAACTCAACTTTTGCTACATTGTTAAATCTCTTGGAAGGCAATGGGCCTACGCCAGGCCTCTGAGGGGCTTGTATGGGCCAGCCTCTAGCGAAGGCCACTGAGACACGGAAGAAGGAGAGAGCAAGTTTGTCCTGCTCTAGTGGCTGGTTCCCATAAATAGATAACAGCCTGCTACAGTGACTTGTTACTGGAGTTACTCCCTTAGCTCCAGCAGCTGCGATGTGCGCTTTCAACAGGTAGTTCCTGGGTTTGATTCCTGCTGATGACCCAAGCTGGCTCCTTTGTGATACCAGCTCCTTCCCCAGCCTTACCAGCTGTTTAGGTTAGTGGGGTTCCAGAAACAGCTGGGCTTTTTGAGTCCAAGCTCCAACACAGAGTCCTCGGCTCCGTCTCAGCCCAGTTTGCTTTGCAAAGACCTGACCTGCCCCCACCTCAAAGCTCTGCTACGAAAGAGCATCTTGGGCTCTGATTGCAGCTGCAGGTTTGGGGGGATGTTGCAGCTTCTAATGACGTCCCCAAGGCCCTACGCTCCTGCCTCAGGGGAATTAAGCACCATGGCAAGAGACATGGCGATGTTCAGTCCCCGGGCTCAGTTTCCAATGTGTAAGACAGGCTGGGAGTCAGAACAGACACTGCCCGGGTGTGGCGCAGAGAAAGAGCGAGACCTCAGGGCAACCTGGTTAATTTCACTCTCCAGGCATGCGGGTTAGTGTCAGAGATCCTGGGTAAGCTCAGTGGCCGTGCATTAACAGCATCGCCAACGCCAACCAATCAATAAAAGCCCCAAACCCTGAGCCAGGCTGCAAAAAAGTCACGAGATTTTTTTTTTAAATCCATTTTGGCTTCGTTTTGTTTGACTCTGGTTTGGGAGCTGTCGGTCACCCCAGCGTAACATTTGTCAGTTTTTCCTCTGTCACGTGGGCTGGGCCCTAATTTTGATTTTAGCCAAAAGCAGAATCACGTGACTCCGGGAGGTGGGGCTTTAAGGCAACACCACACGTTAGCAACACTGCAGACAAGCCAGAAACATCATGCCTTTCCCACGACTGTTTCCATCTCCCCTTGTACCTGTGCAGATCTTAGACCGATTCTTTTGACTCTTCCCAAATCCCTCACTGCATTTACACATGTAACTCCCTGGCATGTTGATGCAGGTCCCGTGGGGCTCACAGATTGTGGCATTTCGCTGGCACTCGTCAATGTCTGCAAGGAGGGAGAAAGCGGTAGGTCAGGCTGATCGAGGAGCTGTACCATGGGCACTGCGGTGACGCTGCTGGGGGATAATCCAGGCGTCCGACATGCACCGTGCTCTGGGGAACGGGGCTGGTTAGAGCCAGGAGTTCAGTTACTGGGTCAGCGACCGGGAGCAAGTTGGCTATTGTCCGGAATGAGCCGCTCCAGCTGGGAAGGGAAAAGCAGCCCTGCCAGACACGCGCACTGTGCAGAGCGCACTGTGCTGTATGTGGACCATCCATGAGCTTCCCAGGCTCAGGGGCACTAGCAGCCTGGATTCTGTGTGCTGGGGACAGCGAGGGCCCCACCCGTCTCCCCGGTGCCTCCCTGCAAACCTAGGGGATTATTCCCAATCCAAACACTGAGGCAGGGGAGATCCTGGCAGCAGTTGAGGGTCACAGCGCATCACAGCCCGGTGAGTGGATCCGGTGCTTTTGCTGCAGCCGGTAGCAGCCTCTGGCACAGCACCAGGCCTGGAATGAGCCCAGGGTTGTGTTTATGCGGTGCCGGGGCGGGGGCGAGGGGGTTAACTGAGCAAGGTGCGGTGGGGGTCAGGGGAAAGCTCACCCTGGCAGGTGTTCTCACTCGCATTCATGAAGTTGGCTTTCCCAGAGCTGGGCTCGTAGCCAGCGATGCAGCTGCAGGAGTAATTCCCAGGCACATTGGAGCAGTTCGCGTGGGGTCCGCAGTCTGCCGGGCTCGGGCCCTGACACTCGTCAATATCTGCAGCACAAGAGGGGACGCTCTGTACAGTCCTGGCAGGGAGACGTTCCTGTATCACCCACCTGTACTGAGCTGGGTGACAGGACCCAGGCGACCAGGCCCCTGGGAGCTTAACAATCACAGGCCTGATTCTCAGCTACACTCAGGCCACACTAGGCTGCTCTGGCAGCGGAACGGCCACTCGAGAATATGGTGTATTGAAAACTGTGTTAGCATCACAAGCTCTCACTTTATATCTGCAAGGGGCTTTCCTGGACCTGCTTGCGGGCGAGGGGGCTGCAGCGATTTAGCAGCTGGCAGCTTCCAGCGTCCCGGGTGGAGACACCAGCATGTGGGTATCCCCTGCCAGGGGACTGGCATTGGTACATGCGCCAGCTTCACCGGCGCAAAGGGGTCCAAATCCACTGGCCTCCGAGCCCAGAGAGACCTCTCGGTCTGTGCCCTGGGCAAACTCCCTGCCCTGGGGAGCGACATGGAGTTGGCCGACCCGGGTGTTCCCCGCCATGCCGCGGGAAGCCAGGGTGTCTCAGGGAAGCCTGGGGCTGGGCTGGCAATGCCAGTCCCAGCACATGCCCCTCCCAGCGCTGCCCTGGGGGAGCGACATGGAGCTGGAGTAGAGAGAGCCTGGAGCCGGGGCCTGGTACAAGGCCCGAATCAAAGTCAGCAAAAGTGATGCTCCGAGCAAAAGTCCGGCCCTGTGGGACACTGAGGCAGAAAGGGTTAAGCAACTTGCAGGCTAAATGACCCAAGTTCTGCCTTTAAAGCCACACTAGAAAAGGAGCCGGGAGCTGTGTTTCTGGCTTCTGGGTGAGCAGCACGGTATCGGAGCAGCTGTTTTGTTGCTGGTTTGGTGAATCTAAGTATCAGAAATAACCAGCAGTTTGGGGGATTGTTGGTCCCACTCTGCAGTTTGCCCTGATGGAGCAATCTCAGCGGGGCCCCCCCAGGCATCAGTCACACCCTGACACAAAGCAGAGGCTTGTTTGCAAGTTCCCCGTCCGGTGCACGAACTTGGCCCCAGTATTGCCAGCATTGCTACGACCCAGTGACTGTGTAACCACATCCCAGCATGAGATTCCTCTGCCTAGCGCACGATAAGATGGTTTGACGGGTGGGGAATGTCTTGTCTGAAGCATCAGGAGTAAAGTACAAAGCCAGGGGGTGAATAAGGGAAGTTTAGTCTGAAGCAGCAGGAGAAAGGGATAAGGGGGGTAAGAAGCATGTTGTGAAACACACAAGTAGGTTGTTGATCCCGGATAGTTTGTCTCAGTCTGTAACTGTCGGGGTCCATGGTCAGAGGCAGACGTGTGGCCGTGTCCCTGTGGTATCTCTGAGCGCTGGCACCAGGCTTCATTGGCAATAAACTTGGCCGAGCACCTTCGCCATTGATCCGACTCTGGGCTGTCCGGGCACTGTGATGGAGGTCTGCCGGGCCAGCGATCCGCCCAGAGCCGGGACAGCACACAGAGCCGACGAACGCCAACCCCATGTCCCCGCCCCAGACTGCTGGAACTCGGAGTGCCTCAGGGAAGCCTGGGGCTGGGCTGGCAATGCCAGTCACAGCACATGGCCCCTCACAGCGCTGCCCTCCAGGGAGCTTGGGGCAGTGGGAGGGTCCCTCGAACTAGGAGCTGCGCCCCCTAGAGGCCAGATGAGAGCATGGCTGCCTGCCCCCAGAGGAAGCTGAAGCAATAGGAGACCGAAGTTTGCTCCGTGGGTCTGTTTCTAACCCCGAGGGTTTATTCCCTGTCCAAGCGCCGGGCACAGGGGTGAGCCCGGCCCCATGCTCTGTGGGAGCAGGCGAGGGTCACATCTCATCACACCCTTGCTGATGCCCTCGGGCCACTGCCAAAGCCGAGAGCAGCCCCGGTGCAGCGCCAGGCCTGGAAGGAGCATTTGTGTGTGCGAGGGGGGGTCTCAGCAGGTGGGGCCAGGGGAGAGCTCACCCCAGCAGGTGTTCTCACTCGCGTGCGTGAAGTTGGCTTTCCCAGAGTTGGGCTCGTAGCCGTCGATGCAGATGCAGGAGTAATTCCCAGGCACGTTGGTGCAGTTTGCGTGGGGTCCGCAG